GGGGTTTAACTAATAGTTCTGCATGCGCTTCTTGCTTTAAGTACTCACAAGGTATACATACACGTGTAACTCGGCGTTAAGGGACCTTTGACAGTCTCTAAAACAAATTAAAGGAGCTCAATCATGGTATTTTTTGACATATTTTGACCACATACAAAATTGCCTTTGAATTGCCGGAAGCCTGAGAATAATAGTTTACTAAGACAGAAAATCACCAAAGAGATAATAATAAACCATAAAGGAACAAGAATGGTAAGGATGGAGAAGATTAATAAGGATTACAAACGACGAACTTGAAAAATGTTGGCTAAACTTTTAGCTCGTCTGAAAGGAATTTTTAATGACATCCTAAAGCGGAACTTGTGCCATGTGATCAACTGTTACAAAAGTCACGTGAACCAATCACAGCATGCCTATTAAGTAGTTCATAAAACTCACTTTCACTCCTGCTTCTCTCACATCGTCACGCACACGTAATCTGCGAAGCATCATGGTTGCTATGTTGTCAAAGGGGTTCCTGGTGATGTGTACGAATTTCATTGGTACTTCAACAACTTGATTGATTTCTTCTAAAATACTCATTCTGCTCGGGTCAACTAGAAGTTGAGACGTAACACCTCCTTTTTTGTCTCCGATAACCTGAGAAAAAGTCACAAAGAAATAGCTACTAAATGAAATTGGAAGAATATAGATATTTTTAAAGCGTTGATACTCTTAATTGAATGTCCGACTTACAGAGAAATTTTGTAAATTTAACAAATTGATGTCAGCTTATCATGCGTCTGTCTTGTTATTGATCATGAATTTCGTCATAACATTGTCGAAGTAGCTGTGGGTCCGCAGACTACTTTGACAATGTTATGACGAAATTCAGTGTCAATGACAGGACAGACGCATTAAAAACTGACGTCAATATATTTGTTTTTTTACAATAAAAAATTTGTCAAATTGTCCGCGCATCGCATAAATTATAAATTCATGTGTCTGTACGCTTATTAATCAATCAATCAATCAATCAATCAATCAATCAATCAAATTTTATTGAAACAGGGTTACACTTAATAGTTATACAACTAATAAAGCTGTGGCCTCGATAAAAATAAACCATAAATGTGAAAATTAGCCAATGGGCGTGCGAGAATTTCTGCAGTTATCGTAAAAATACGTCTTGTTATTACAATAAAACTAAGTATCTCTTGGTAGATAATAGTTAGTAGACTTCTAATTATATTAAGTGTCCAATTAGTAAAGGGGGTTTTCCTCTCGGCTATCTAAATTTTGACACGTTAATAAAGTTATAATTTTTGTTGTCGTGTTGTGTTTATAAAATAAGAATTCTATATTTACATTAAGACGTGCGGAGAGACATTCAAGGGAAAAGCTATTGGAACAAAATTGATTGACATAATGTTTGTCTGTCTGAACCGGTGACTGCAGGATCGTCCGGGGGGAAATGTCATAGTTTAGCCTCGATGACGTTTTTCAGAGCTTAATGTAAAACATTTGTAAACTGCCATTATTGTTAACGACTACAAATTTGTCATTTGATGGCCTTTTCCCGTTGACATTCAGGTGGCTTTTCCCGTTGTCGATTACTTTTCTAGGTCAGCAGCTAAATATGTAACGACAAAAATTCCTGCCTATCGAGTGTCAAAGCGTTAAATTACCAACTTACCTTAATTCTCTTGTCATATTTTCCCTGCCATAAGCCCTGCACATTGTAGGTGTAGTCAAACTCTCCGCGCACCCAAGATTTTCCCGGAGGGGCTCGTATTCCAAGCCTCGCCTGGTTTATGGAACGCTGGTGTAGATGGTAAAATAAAGCATACTTTTGCAAATTTTGCTTTTTAAGTTCTGGTGACCTGTATTGTTTCCATCGTTGTAGCAAATTGTACTCATGTGTGATAACAATTTCTGGATGTGCATCCAATATGGCGCCCACTAAACTGTGACTACTACGAGGATATCCAATGAACATTACAAATGTCTCCACTCCATCGTACAATTTGAAAAGATTCTCTGGTGGATAAAGGAAAGGAGTTTCTTCTGAAAGAAACAAAAAGAAACAATGTTTGGATCAGTGAGCTGAGGTGAGCGAACTAACTGTATTTCTTACTGAATTTTAATTTTAATTTTAATTTTAATGCCATGCATTTCATAGAAAACTTTAAAGTTTTCTATGAAATGCATGGCACTAATTCAACATCTGAATTTTTTTCAATTTCAATCCATTGTCCTTTCTAAAATCTTACTCGCTCGCTAATGACACACAGATATGGGCGCAAAAGTGTAAAACTTAGAATTATAGAGACGTCTCAACAATCTCTCTTTAGCTATATCACCAGTTTAAAATTTAGGTTAGAGTTGCATTTTCACATCGAGCGTGCCAATGAAAATAAACGGTCTAAGACCCGGGCCGGCCCATTCAAACCGTTAAAACAAGTTTAGCCAAACCTGGTCGGGTAAACAGTGCTTTCTTAAGTTTTGATCGGACAGCGCACGCAGTGTGAACGAGAAATTTTCTTGCTTAACTAAAAATATACATGTTTGGCTTTTTGTTATAAAACATAGGGAGTAAATCCAACCACTCAAACAATGCAATGTTCCATAGGATTTTAAGGATAACTCTACTCTTTTTAGTCAAGAGAAAGTAAACTTGATTTACCCTTTTCTTTGGATTGAATGGTTTCCAATGGCCTTTCCATAACACGTCTTCTCGACACTGCAGTTTCTCTCTCGTTAACAAAATAACAAACCAAAAGAAAGCTTGCCAGAGACCCAAAGAGTAGCAGAAAACGTTTTCGTCTTAGAAACATCATTCTGTTGGTGTAGAGTAAATGATCTGAAAAAAAATTAAGATGGGTCAAGTGGATCTATATTTACGCAGTTCTCACTTCAGTCTTGTGGTTAAAACGCCTGTGTGTACTGTAACTACCATTCAAATGAAACATTTTGTTTTACCTGCTGTTCTTGTTGTCAGAAACCCGTCTGATCCTGTACAAGGTGGTTCGATCATTTAACCCCGTAGATGAATCTTTCAAATGAAGGGTACTCACCATGTAGTACTGTTTATATATTGTGCTGTACAAGGTG